TATAAATACACATATACACCTAGATTGTAAGCTCGAAAGAGCAGGGCCCTCGATCCCCTCATGTTTTGCATTGTATTGGTATTGTTCTGTCACATGTTCTGTTCCCCTCTGTAATGTACAGCGCTGAGCAAACTATTGGCGCTTTATAAATACTGTATAATAATAATAATAATAATAATATACACACACACACACACATATATTTCTTGAAATATATTTTGAAATATATTGAATATGGCAAAAATTGTACCATTTCAAATATATGACAACATGTTTGGGAAGGATATATTTAACATATATTTCAAATATATTTTTCTTCCATATGGGTAAGGGGTAGTAGGGGAATAGAGGACTGAAGAGTTCAATTAAATCTGCAGCCACCAGCAAAGGACCTTTGGCATTTGAGTGTAAGTACTGTCCTATGTGCTGATTGTTTTTTTTTAAATGTTTTGATTATACTTAGGATTTAACAATTAGAAAATCAACCAAATGCTTTGAAAATGAACAATTTTGAATAAAAATCTAGTGTAGGGTCATCTAAGGATGGATAAGCTGCAATATATAAAATTTTTGGTTTTGGGTTTAGGTACTCTACGAAATGAGATGCTAATCCAAATAGCCAATATATGTGGTGTACCCTTTTTCCCCGACATACCTTTGTGATTCATAGGTGCTCCCTGATGTTTCCAGTCAGCTGGCAATGTAGCGTTATAATCTGGACTGTAGCCGCTCATTCGTTCCCTCTCAGCAGTCATTGCATTGGGGAAATGAGGATTGCAGTTCATCTAAACAAAAAGAACCAGTTAAAACCACACAGTGCTAACCTAATAATTACAAAATTGTTAGACTACTTTTTAAAAAGTGCTATAGGAACCTGCGGCAACCATTAGATTTGATCTATTTCTTCATTTGAATATAGTACACTGAAATCTGATATACTATGGCACTTCTGCACAGCCAGTGGAGTTTGCAGTACATTTTTGGTCTACGGAACCCTCTAATCACTTATATATGGGCTTCCCATAGGTAGGCTACTGTCTGATGGTTGGAGAACTATTTCTGTAGGGAGATCCTTCTATCTTGAAACATTTTAAAGCAACTCCATCACATTTGTGATTCAGGCAGAAAACTCCTGGAAGTCAAGGCTAAAAATCCAAGCACTACTTTATTGGTAAGATCTGATTATACTCTGAATCTTTGACATTACCTTTTTAGAACCGGGCCTGTCTTGGCTGCCTGGTATAGGTGGCAGGGTGGGGCCGCACTGAGAAAGCGTATGGTAGCTGGGGTTTGAGTAGTAGTGCATATGGCTGGGTGGTACATCTGCAAAGAAAAAAAAAGAAGACACTTACATTGTGGTTACTACATATAAATGTCTAATTTACGCAGTGCCTTTATGTATTGTACAATCACATCAGACCCTGCCTTCAAGGAGCCTCCAATCTAAGGTTCCAATCTAATCTAAGGTCCAAACTGAGCTTCCAATCTAAGGTTCCTACCTTGCATGCATGCTAGGACCCATTTATCTATAAGTATGTCTTTGGTATGTGGGAGGAAATCAGGGTACCCAGAGGAAACCCACAGAAGCACATGTAAACAAAGCTGTAAGGCAGAATGGCTAACCACTAAGCAACTATGCCACCCAGCTTTTTTTTCTATATCTAAAATTGTCAAATAGGAAGTTCCAGCTGATGTAATAGATTGGCACTTACCTATAAATTTTCTGTTTCTTTTCATGCCCAAGAACCCAACTATAGTAATGGTACCAATGCCCTACAATCTTGCATAGACCATCTCTAACATTTGCTGGAGATGTTTACAGGCTCCTGGCACTATGACCCACATCTGGGGCACATGCCCACTGACCACCCATTTCTAGGATAAGATTCTACACTTGTATGATACATTAGTGGGTGACCACATCCCCAATGTATCTCTAATTACTGTGTTGTCTATGCTGCTGGGATCCTATAAACATATTTTAAAAAAAGCCTGATTAGACATTGCCTGACTGAATGGGCTGAATCCTGTAATCTCACATAGACTGAATGGTCCCACATTCAATACTCTTCAAATTTTGTATCCTTCACATCAGGCAGGGATTGAACAATGGGTTGTGTCTGGGACCTCCATGTACACATATTTCTTCCCAGGGGCGGACTGACAACTCATGGGGCCCCTGGGCAATAGGGGATCATGGGGCGCCTGTGTCCTTGCCCAAACTCAAAAATCCTATGAAAAAGGTACCAGGGGCATCTCATGGGGCCCCCTACTGACCTCGGGCCCTCGGGCAGTGCCCGAGTTTCCAAATGGTCAGTCCGCCCCCCGGCTTCTTCAGCTGGTGCCCCGTTAACGTCATATGGGGTATAAGACGGATTTGTAACCTGGCTAGTGCTGACCTGGCTAAACTGCTCGGTGACCAGGAGAAAACTGATGCTTTCTGCTTTCCTTATGGGTTGAGCTCATGTACTGTATATTGGGATATTTTGTACATGATCTCTGTTTTTGCCCTATATTCTTTGAAACCTCAATAAAACAGATTAAACATAAAATTGTCAAATAATATTCCAATATGGTTAAAAAATCTGAGGGCCGTGTTTGTTGCTGAGGCGCCCAGACATTAAAGTGGATGGTGGTAATTATTAGTTACTGTATATTGCTGGAATTAGGACGGTCTCAACAAGGTATGGTTAGGGTGAAATGTCATATGATATACAGTGCTATTTTAGAGAAATGAACAATCTTTTATTGGCAAATCCAGTTTTTAGCCCTCATCCCTCTAGCACTCAAGAACAAGAGGAAATTTCAAAAAAGAACTCTTGTGAATCAGATCTTCCTCAGCATCATACCTGAGTATTCCTGAAACAGAAGAAAACAGATCTGTTCCAGGGAAGCAAAAAGACCCTCCACTTTTTTTGCTCCTTGGAAGATGAGCATCAGAATGCATAACATTATGATAGGTATGGGATGGGTGACCACATATTTTGAGATGGTTTTTACCTAGACTCACATGGCTTGGAAAGAAAATTAAATCTCTAAATGTTTGGCCTAAATTATTTCAACAGCCCTCCTCCAACAATACTTTGCTTTTCAGTTAGATTGGAGTGAACCTTTAATGGCTGCTAGGTCAAAACACTCACACTGGAGCAATAAGTTGAATGCTTTCAAAACTATGCTCAGAGTTGGCCACATATGAAAAAGTCACTTATTATTTACTGGTTGTCCAACAAATATATTCCCTATTCATCTAACATAATTATTATAATATTTAATGGAATGAAAATATATCATCTGGGGTGGATTAAAGGTGAAAACCACTTACACAATATGGCCAATGGATTGGGGAAACCTGGTCATTTCATTTATATGAACTTGTTGGACATAGCACTGCAAAACTATGGACATTTATAGGGAACTAAACCCTCATAATAGTTCCACTGCTCTGGGAAGGCCTTCAATACGATTTTGGAGTGTGTCTGTAGGAATTGGGGTCTATTCAGCCAAAAGGGCATTTGTGACGTCATGTGCTTATACTGGATGAGAAGACCTGTTTTGCAACTCATGTTCCAATTAACCCCGAAAGCGTTCAGAAAGGTTGAAGTCACAGCTCTGTGCAGGATTCTCAGGTTCTTTCACACTTGTCAAACCATGTCATTATGGATCTGCGGTTGTGCACATACTGGAACAGAAAAGGACTTTACAAAACCAAGAAGTTAGAATTACATAATTGTCTAATTTGTGTTTTATGCCATAGCATTAACAGTACCCTTCATTGGAAACACCTGACCTCAATCATTTCTGAGGGTTTTCGCATATTATTGTTTATATAGTAGTTGTGATAAGGTTCTTTGCTGGGGTTTTTTTTTTTGCCTTCCTTTGGATCAACTGTGGGTATAGGATTAAATGAAGATCCTGATGAAGCTACGAGAGGTGTGGCGTAACGCGTAGATGAGACATAGCGACATGATGACACACTTCCGGTCCGGCGCCATCTTAGCACACCAGAGAACTCATAGTACACCCATGTGAGGTAATACCAATCAGCTTGTTATCTTCTGCTGGAATGTGAGTGTTCACTTGGCGTTTTTTCTCACAATAAATGTGTCATACAGTTTTACACTATGGAGGATTTTTTGTGTTCTTATTCCATGACCTCCATAACCTCATGAGTATATAATATATATACACTGGTACCTGTATGTGGAGGATAAGTGGAAGGTGGAGGAGTGAGCATTGGAGTCTGTGGAGTAACCTCTAGCCTGGAGAGAGCGTGTAGGATCCTGAGGTGATCCGTAAGGCATTTTGGCCCCTGTGGGTTGCAGGGGGAAGGTGAGCGGGCCATATAGGATTCTCACCTGTCACCCGCACTGACAAGAGGAGCATGTTTTTTTAATTGGGTGTCAAACACTGAATTTTGTGGACATTTATATCACTACAGATTTATGGTTTTAAACACTGAATGTTGTGGACATTTTTTTGCACTTATATGTATAGTTATCAGCTTTATAGTGTCTTATATCCCTTCACAGGGAATCACTGAGTGGTATGGTTTAATCACTTATTATCTATGCTTGATTTGTATTGCACCAGTTATCTATATACTTGATTTACAGTAACACTTTTTCTACTCTGGATAAGTCTGTTTATAAGTTTATAGCGCCACACCATTATCATAATTAGAGATGAGCGAATTATTCAAAAATTCGGTTCGGCTGATTCGCCGAATTTGCAGAATAAATTCGCTTCGAGCCGAATATATTCGCTGCGAATTTAACTTATAAAAAGGGTGTTTCAAGGCTTCAGAGAGCCTTTATATTAGTGCAGAACGCTGTACCTTTAATTTAAATGCCCTTGGAGTCTGCTGGGGAAGAGAAATAATACTGTCAGTCAGTATGACATGCAGATGAGTGCCGTCGATCTTAGAATCACCGCACACTTCACTCATTTGGGCAGTCACGGGGCCAAAACCAGAGTGTGGAGCCACAGTGTGGCGGTGGAGGCAGCAGCAATGGGAGGCCATACAGCACCCTATGACAAAATAGAACCCACCAGCAGTTGTGAGGAGACCTGAAAGTGGCACATGGCAGAGTGTGGCGATGGAGACAGCAGCAATGGGAGGCCGTACAGGGACCCATGACACACTCTGGACCTGGCAGCAGCATGAGGAGGCGGTACAGGGGCCCATGGCAGATTACGGGCCTGGCAGCAGCATGAGGAGGCGGTACAGGGGCCCATGGCAGAGTGGCGGAGCGTAAGCAGCTAAAATTGAAGGCCATACAGAGGCCTATGTTAAAAAGTCCCCCCAGCAGCAGCGTGGGGAGACGACTATCAAGAGTCCAATGGCAGAGTGGCGGAGCAGAAGCAGCTTCAATTGAAGGCCATACACAGGCCTAGGTTAAAAAGTCCCTCACAGTTAATTCCAATAACGAACTCTACTCCTCCGTGCAATCTACTTACGAGACCCTGGGCAGGTCTGGGTCCAATTTGTGGTAGAGACTGGTTTTGTTCAGCCATGCTTGAGCGAGTAATAACAGGTCTGTGCTGCCCTTTGGTGTCTGGCTTAATGCGCACAACACTGAACGTCCCAGCGTTTGTCAACGATTTGCCGTTAAGTGATGCAAACCCGCTGAACCACGTTCATGAGGAGCCGGTACAGGGGGCCATGAATCAGTATGGACCTGGCAGCAGCGTGAGCAGACGACAGAGGCACATGGCGCAGGGTGGCGGTGTAGGCAGCATTATTCTGAAGCCATACACA